TGCGGAGTGATCTCACGCTCGGGAGTGAGATGGAGCGTGGGGAGTGGAAGGGTCTGGGCAGTGGAGGTAATGTAAGGCTGACATTAAATATTAAAGCCCGCGCACAGTTGACACCTAGTGTAAGGTGATCTGTGATGCTTTAGCTGCCAGCACGGGCGCTGTGATTACATCTTCAAACACTACTGGAGGGTCTGTGGGTAAAAGCTGCCTGGATGTAAGAATGTGTATGTAAAGATCTGTTTGTGGGGATGATAGCGTGCACACTTTTCATCAGCCTGTCTCAGGAGTAGGATCAGGTGTACCTGGATGTGCATCTCGTGGGTTTTCTCTGTATGTGACTGACTGTCACAGAGGCAGCCAGCCCACCCACTTGAAACTTTCCCTGAGGTATACAGCCAGCAGATGATGGGCTGAGATGAGATGGTACTAGGTGGTCTCAGGCTGCAGTTGTTTTTCCTCCTCTTTCCAGTCTCAGTGTGAGCCCTGTCTCTATTCTTGGTTCTCTGTGTAGGTGTTGAAGTGCTGAATCAGACTCGGCGTGATGGAGGAGGAGGAGGAGGACAGATGTGCCGCTGACAGTCCGTGAAAGGCGCTACCCCGAGTCGACAGCCAGCAACCTGCTGAACGCTGACCGCTCGCGCACGTCAACAAAACCAGGCGGAAGCCTTTTACCCTGCGATGGTGTGTCAGAACAGTGGGCCTGTGTATAACCTAATGCTTTTTTCACGCTTGCGATCCATGTGGACTGAACTTAATCCACACAGCTGTTTTGCGTCAAGGATATTTAGTGACTTTATGGGGACATCTAGTGACGAAAACTTGGTAATGTTACACAGAAACAGAAACCATGTAATGGTCTTTGTGTAACTATTTTTATATAGTTTGAAGCTATTGCACAAAGATTTTTTTAAATAGATGTCTAAATTTATCTGCTCTCTTTTTATGATCATACAGGAAGCAAAACTGTATAAACCAAACATAAGCCATAACTCAGCAAGTTCAGTCCAGCATTGTGCAAAGCCAAAGCTGATTTTTTGACAAAATCCCCAAATTTCCAAATATAGATGTTGGGGAATGTGCATAAAATGACAAATGAGAAATATGAGGGAATGCTGCAGGCATAGAAACATAAAGTCTGGAGGCTTAAATATCTATCCAGATGTGATATTTACAGAAAGGGTAGAAGAAGATACTTTTAAAACATTAAGAACATTGAGAATTTTTTTTTTTTAATCTAATCATCTCATATATACTTTGAGGAACCATTATTTTGAAAGCGCATAGCAGGACCAGTTCTTGTTTGATTGGCAAGCAGACTTCAAAATACAGGCTTTGCATTATTCCTGACAACGTATAACCTCTGCTGTTTGTTTTCTTGGAATCTCCAGCAGGTACAGTCATGCACAGGCACATCTGTCTTACTCTCTGTTTTCCCTAAAATATTCATCATTATATTTAACCGTCTAGAATGGCATGGCAGAAAAATGCAAAACACTGGAAGAAAGAGCTGCAGCCGAAAGGTGTTTTTGTAATCCTTTAAATCTAGTGTTGTAAGAAGAATCCCCCTATTTATCCTATTTAATCTGCAGACATACAAATTTCTTCCGTTATAACAGCTGGTGTGAAGGTTATGCTGCTTTGAGTGTTCCTGTATTACAAGTCACACAAAGTAATAAAAAAACAGAAATATATTCACGAAAGCATCCAATCACTGTTAAACTGGCAACACATCCTCACATCAGTATCTATCTACAAGGATTTTACAAATTCAGGTCCTTCCCAAATACCAGGCTCTGAGCTGGGACCTTTTCTTTTCACAGTTTGCGTGCCCCTCGTGGTCAGACTATCTGCCACCATGGGCTGAGCTTCCACTGCCATCCTGATGATACACAGCTGTATCTCAGCACCAAACCCTCTAGTCAGTTCACTTCTCTGTCTCTCATTAAGTCCCTGGATGACATCTAAATCTGGATGTAATCCAGCTTTATCATATTGAAAAACAATACAACTGAACTCTTGTGTCAAGTCACGACTCCTGAAAGGGGCTGACCTTCACCTTAACATGGGTAAAGGTCATTAATTTTCAGGGGTTCTCAATCTGGGTGCCATCCTGGAGCCCAGGCTCTAATTCTCATCATATATCAGATCCATCTCTAGAAGTTCTTTCTACGACCTAAAGAACACCTCTAGAGTCTGACCTCATCTCTCAGAGTCCTCAGCTGAAACCCTCATCCATGCCTTCATCACCTCCTGCCTGGATTATTGCAGTGATATCCCGTTAGCTCTGCACAAGCTCAGAACTCACAGTTCTTACCTGCAACAAGTCCTGGCCTTACATCACCCCCACCTAACCTACAAACCACCACATGCTCTTTCTCTCCTGTACTTGTTCAGTCTTATCCTCCCTTCCCTACACCCCACACTGCATTCCCCAGTTAAAGGCTTACTTGCCATCCCCCTCACCAGGCCGGGGTCTTTTAAAGGACAGAGCCTTCGGTGCTGCAGCCCCCCACTCTCTGGAATGTGCTCTCCTCTAAAACACCCTGTCTTTGAAAATTTTCAAAAAGCAGTTGAAATGTTACTTATTCACAGAGGCCTTTGACCTTTGACTTTTTTGTGTAAAGGTGCTATATAAACTATTAAATGTCACTGAACCAATGACACCTCTAACAGTGGTGCGCATACCTCAACTTGACCTGATATTTGATACAAGAAACCCTGGCATGTCAGATCCCTGTTCCCCTCACCACAGGGCACATAATGTGGCTGCACTCCAGCCAAGAAAATCTGCGCTCTGCACCAGTTGTTGTGAGCTGGCTCATTGACATGGCTAATATAAGTCACTTCAAAAGAATGGGGCCATCGTTAATGACACTGGGTTCCCACTTTTGTCTGGTACGCCAAGTCAGAAAGGGATTAACTCTGCAGTAAACGTTGCCACATAAATCGTGTCCGGGTAGCATAAACTCTGATTTTCAAGAGGAGCAGACTACCCTCATGTTATCAAATTATGTTTTGTTTTGTTTTGATTTCAAATGGGCTTTTTTCTTTTCTAACATTATGTCCTTTAAGAAATCCGTGCTTCTGAGCAGTTAGGCTCGACTTTATGCTGTACCCCAAATATTTTTGGCTTGCGGACAATAACAATAAAAATAAAAGTGAAAGTGAAAAAAGAAAAACAATGGCTAACAAAATAATAATAATAATAATAATAATAATAATAATAATAATAATAATAATAAAAATAAAAACTCCAGCTTGTGTACACAATCAGTAAATTAATAACCATCATCCAATCATCAAAGGTCAGTTGGAGTACATTCACTTTCAATACTTCAGGGATCCTTTTACTTAAGTAGAAAGATTGTGTTGTTAATTATTTAAAAAGCCCCAAACTATTGTTTTTGACGCTTTGCAAATCACAGCAATCTATTTTAACTTCTGGTTACACATCCTCATTTCCGGCACCTCCTCCCCCCGTGTTGTCCTTTGTTCCTCCTTACACCGCCCACTTAAAAAATCATGAACTCCCCTACTTCAAAAAATAAAAAACAAATACAAAAACGTACAACTTTAGTAACACCGGAGGTGAAGTTAACTGCAAGTTACTGGTATCACAGTCCATTCACGCTGGTCAGTCCTGTTGGGGAGCAGGTTTGCATGTAAGATAGGCGGAACTAATCAGGAAATGTGGAGCAGTGCTATGATAAGATAACTTGGATCGCTGACATTTAGCACATATACGCGCACGTATATAATGAGTCGGTGTTAGTATTTGCCTACAGGGCTGTGGTCAATGTGAAGCCTGTGTGGCGTGAGGAGTCTTTACTTCCGCAATGATGTGCTTATTTAAAAAAAAAAAAGGCTTCGGTCTATCCTTACGAGTCTTACAGCTAACCTTTAACAGGCATTAGCTATAAAACTGAATTGAAACGTAGATATCCCAGTAGTGGGCTGTTAGCCACGCCCCCCCGTGAATGTTACGTAAGCCGCACGCATGCAGATATATTCAGACGGAAACTTCACGGTGGTCGGTGTTTTCCAGGGTTGTATCTGTGAACTTTGGTTGCTTCGTCAAGGTGAGTGTGTTCATGTTTATTGTAATTCGTGCGCTTTCAAAGCAGCCCGGACGAGTCATGGTGCTGCTGGTGTTTCTCGTTTGACCTTTCGTTTGTGAGACGTCCTTTATCTGCGCCGGTAGCTGCACGGCTAATTTTCTCCTCAGGTGTTCGAGGTAATTGTGTTGTTAGAGGGTCCGAAAATGGACACTTTGTTTTATGTATTAGCCGGGGGAGGAAACGCGTACGTTGCCTTTCTTACCAAAATAAAAGTGTAATGAGTACTTTCGATATGAGCCACAATATATTTCTAATTCATTTTCCAGGTCTGTCAGGATGGTTGTGCTTTCCAAAGACTATGGATATGTGGTGCTGACTGGCATGGCCAGTATGGTCATGGTTACACATCTGGCCATTAAAGTTGGCAAAGCCAGGAAGAAGTACAATGTGCACGTGAGTATTCAAATATGGAGCACAGTGGAGGCTACCTGTTGAAAGGTGCTGTCCTGTACGAATGAACTTGTCACGCCTTGCAGTATCCTCAGATGTACAGCAACGACCCAGAAACTGGGAACATTTTCAACTGCATCCAGCGGGCACACCAAAACACGTAAGTATAGTAAGGTAATGTAATCCATGTCAGCAGCATTATGTCATGTTCTTTCATCGACAACAAAGAAGCAGGTTGATGTTAACGTCGCTCTTGTGACCTCCTCACCAGCCTGGAATCCTACCCTGCCTTCCTCTTCTGCCTGGCTGTTGGCGGTTTTCATTCACCTGTAAGTTTATTTTCATTGTGCTGCCACGTTGTATCTGCACCATAATCATACAATTTATTTTTGTCAACTGTGTCACAACGTTTTGGCTAAAAATGTTCACAACTTGTTGCATGCAATGGGTAGCTGTTCTGTCAAGTCCTGTTGCATCTGATTGTTTGTGTGGCTGTTGCAGCGTCTGGTCAGTGGACTTGGAGTCGTGTGGATTATCAGCAGAGAGGTTTATGCACACGGCTACTCTACAGGAGGTAAGAAACCGTTCAGCAGTTCGCATCGATTTCTATTCTTCTTATATCATAAAACATGGTCAGAATGTATGTCTGTCTCTCATCTTAATTAGATCCTAAAAAAAGAATGAGGGGAGCTTTTGGAAATCTGGCTTTACTTGGGATGATGCTGGCCACACTGAACTTCGGAGGCTCTCTGCTGGGCTGGAGGGGGAGCTCACGTATGAGCCGTTTTGGTGTTTGATCCAATATGTAATGAAAATTTACGCCTGGGCCAATTCAGTCATCATCGCTATGGTGTAACTCATACACTTGCACTGTGCTCATCTTTAAGTGGTTAAGTCAGGTGTGTTAGCTGATCTGACTAGTTCTTCAAGAACTGTATGGCCTGATTTAGAATAATGCAGACTAGCACTCTACAGTCGTGCATTTATTAATGAATAAAAAGAAGTAATGATGAAGAAATTCCTTGTTTATTGTGCTGCAAAGGAACTTTACTAAAGATGGTTATTCAACTGTCCTGCATTTGTAATTAAAATCCTCCATAACTTCTATTTTCCTGTTTGTCATAAAACTGACACCTTCTCATATCAACTGTTTCATTTCTTTGCCTGAATGTGGTTAACAATGGCCTGTGTGTGGAGGGAGTGGCTCTTCTTTCTGGAGTAATGTTCAAAGTGCACCTACCTTGTCTGGACAGGCAGGAACCAACGCTGCTGAAGTCTTAAGCGAATCATAGTTGACAATAGAAACTGTCGTTCACACAGTGACACTGCATAATGCCTGAGAGCTTACCCACCTATTATTGCGTTTGCCACATACAAAGATTTGATATATTTATTTTCATTAAACAGGAAAGTCATTCTTGCATTTCATCATACATCACTGCAGGCAGTAAAGTAACCAAGTTAAAACATCAGAGCTTCGTTCCACTGTATTTGCAGTGCATTCCAACCAGTCCAGATGGAGGACCCTTAAAATGATTCCAATGCTGCTCTCAAACCTCCACTGTGTGCGAACAACAATTTCACTAAGTGAGTTTTACAATTTACAGATATCTAAGTATTTGGCTTAGCAGGGTATCTCCTCAGTAAACACTGGCAGACAAAACATTTAAAGAAAAGCAATCACTATATTCAAGATTTCCATGACTTTGTGAACATAACTGCATGTTTAACAGCTGCAACAGTAAATAATCTGCATTTGTAATTCGGGCTAAATTACAATTTGGAAAAATAAAGTGGTTTCCACTGTTGGAGACCTGGCGTGTGTTTCTCCAAAGATGTGGCTTTACAATTGTAAAATATGTTTAATTTTTTGTCAACTTTCTGCAAGACCTTAGCTTCACATGACACAGATTGGGCAATTGGATTTGAAAATGCACTTTGCTAACATTTGGTCACCCGAGGGATTGTGATTGTTTTGAGAAGCTTTCCCATGAGCCTTCATTCTGCCTTACTGGCTATTCTTACAGTTACGGAGGACTTCATGCGACCTTGATCCACATTACCTCAGATCACCCCTAGAGGGCAGTGTAACCGTTTGTGTCATATTAAAGTGCTGTGCAGGAGTCAGTCAGGGGCGCAGAGTCATCTTAATTTCCATCGGAGTGGGGAGTTCTCAGCACACTGAATGTCTCCAAAACTTTAAAAGGAATGTGGAAGAAACTTCCCGCTTAAAACATTAAGAGTCCTTGGTTAAATACGTTTTTTTTTCTTAATGGCTAACAGTAGGTTCTCAGTGCCAAAGAGAGGTTTTGCTCACATCCAAAGTGGTCTTCCTTTGGTGTTAGATTTGCTTCGGTCCTCTGAGTGATGGAAGTGACTGACAGAACAGGATCTTCTGTCAGTAGGTGTACCTGGACAGTGGCGTGTCCTCCATCAAATCATCCTAAATAAGGTGATTTTAAAAAAACATTATCAGTACTCCACAGAGCATAATTCAAAATATGCGCTCACTTGCCACTTCATTAGGTATACCTCCTGTTGGAGAAATATCTAATGACCTAATCACAGTGCAGAGACTCGGTGCATTTAGGGCAGGGGTGTCGAACTCCAGGCCTCAAGGGCCGGTGTCCTGCAGGTTTTAGATATTACCCTGGGTCAACACACCTGAATCAAATGATTAGTTCATTACCAGGCCTCTGGAGAACTTCAAGACATGTTGGGGAGGTCATTTAGCCATTTTAATCAGCTGTGTTTGATCAAGGACACATCTAAAACCTGCAGCACACCGGCCCTTGAGGCCTGGAGTTCGACACCTGTGATTTAAGAAACTGTGACTGTGGCATGGTTGTTGCCACCAGATGGGGTGGGCTGACCTTCAGAAACGGCTTATTTACTGAAAATTTCCCACACACGCATCTCTATAGTTCACAGAGAATGGTCCAAAAAGGAAAAAAAATCCAGTTAGTGGCAGTTCACTGGGTGATATCTTGTTGATGTCAGAGGAGACTGCCCAGGCTGCTTGAGTCATACAGAAGGGCAACATTAACTGTAATAACTCTAATAAAAACTATAATAAACCACTTGTTACAACCCAGGTGTGCAGAAGAGTACCCTGTGGGTTAAGACATGGAAACTGAGGCTACAATTCATACAGGTTTACCAAAGTTGGACAATAGAAAATGTGGAGACATGTTGCCTGGCCTGATAAATCTATATCTGCTGCAACATTTTGGATGGTAGGGTCAGAAATGGTCGAAAACAACACGAGGGATCCATTGTGCGTTATATCAATGTTTCAGGCTGCTGCTGGTGGCGTTATGGTGTTGGGGGTGTTTTCTTGGCACAATGTCACAGACTATCTGAATACTGTTGTTGACCATATCTATCCCTTTATGATCAGAGCATATTCATCTTCTGATGGCTGCTTCACACAACACATCATGTCACGAAGCTCAAATCCTTTCAAACTGGTATCTTGGCAATGAGTTGTCTGTACTCGGATGACCTTTACAGTCATCAGATGTCAGTCCAATCAAGCACCTTTGGGATGTGGTGAAACTGGAGATTCACATCATGGATGCACAGCTGATAAAGCTGCAGGTTTATCAGTTGTCATGACAATATGGACCAAGATCTCTGAGGCATGTTTCCAGGAATGTTTTGTTGACTCTAGACAACAAAGAATAAAAGCAGTTCTGAAGGCCACAGGGGTCCAGCCAACCACTAGCAAGGTGTAAATAATGAAGTGGCTAGTGAGGATCTAATAAAATATATGAAAATAATTTTCAGTTTCTCTTACCTAAGCTCTCGAATATTTTTAATCAGCTAAACCACATCTCAAGAGTAACCCCTGATCAAGAAATAAGCTAGCGGCCAAGTCACGTTCCAATATGTCATCTCTGCTTGCAGTTAATATTCTAATACCCAAGTTCATCTTGACAGTGAAGGGTGCTTAATAAAAGATGCAGTTATTTGGTATTTGACTTTCATAAAGTTTGGGGACTTCTAAGATGGAGATTGTTAAAAAAAAGTGGTGAAAATGGTAATGCAAAGGTACTAGACTGTATCTTACCATGGGCAGGTCCTGCAGACGATGGAACTCCGGGTGGTTAGTGCGCTGGCGGAACTTGAGGAAGAGGACGACAAAGACGATAGCTGTGGTGACAATAAACACTGACAGCAGACCAGCCAGCAGAGGGTCTAGAGGGGAGCTGGAACGGTGACCGGACCCCTCTACACGATAAAGAATTTGATATGATATGAAGAAAATAAAATAGGTCATGGTAAAGGCAAAACAACTCAATGGGAGAAGCTTAAGGCAACACCTCATCACACTTAGCACCTGCCAGTCACCTTACCTTCACCGCCAAATTTATTTACAGACTGGACCTCCTTGTACACCGACCCAGCAGGGGCTCCACCTGGAGATGCGGTAGCTGTGTTCAGAGATTCAGAGTGTGGCCATGTGGTGAAGGTGGGTGCTGTGGAGCTTGTGTGGTGCACTGCTGGGGCTGGCTGAGATGAAAAGGTAGAGAGGGAATGGTTGGTCAGAGGGGTTTTGCCTTCTGTAGCTGCAGGGTGCAGAGGGGTGGTGGTCTGAACAGTCGGCGCGGATGAAAGGCTCTCTGCGGCAGCTGAAAGTGGGGATGTGAGCGCAGTGCTGTATCAATTCAAAACAGTACAGATTCTTCAAACGAAATGAAATGCATTCACAACAGCCAGAGGTAACGCTGCACTGCCCTGCTGACGTTAAAGCTGCCGCGATTGTGTTTGTGCAGCATGTGTGGCTCACGCCCTGACAAAAATCTGTGCAAATTACAGAAAACCTTTGTCAGTATATCAGAACGCTGTGAATCCCAATGGCCTGCGCTTTCAAGCATCACTGCTCACACAGAGGTACTCTTGAATCAGATAAATCCACAGTCTTTTCTCCAAGAGCTTTGGACTCTGAGGTCTCAGCTTAAAGCCACAGAACTACATTAAATAAGTAGCTACTGTTTGCTTAAGAATTTAAATATATCCCAGCGATTCCAAACAGTTGCTGCAGATTTGTCACGTGCACACCATTATGTGAATCTCCTGTTCTACCACATCCCAAAGGTGCTCTACTAGACTGAGATCAGGTGTCTGTGGAGGCCTTTTTTCACAACATAGTGGGTATGCACTGCTCATAAAGAGATGGACATGGTCAGCAACAATACTCAGGTAGGCTGTGGTGTACATGGCTCATCTGGTGCTAAAGGCCCAAAGTCTGCCAAGAAATCCGATGCTTGTTTTCACCTTAAGCAGGTCAACTTGACTGTGTCTGCATGCCTAAATCCACTGAGCTGCTGCCATGTGATTGACTGATTAGCTTTAATGAGCAGTTGAACAGGTGTAACGAAATAAAGTGGCTGATGATTGTTTATGCGTAGAACAATAACTTTCTCTCGGTGTGGGTGTATTTCATTTCACCTCATGCGCATGTGCCTGCACTGACAGTTTGGTGGGGGCTGAGAATGTGCACATGGTGTGATTGACAGCCGGACTACATTCCTGCAGCAGAACGGACAGACTGTCAAAGTACTGTGCGGTGTCAACAAAATACACAAACCACAAAAATGTTTGTTTTCTAATTGGATGATAGTGAGAATATTTTCGAGTGAGAATATTTTCAGCTTTCAAAGCGAGAAGCCACACACAGCCTGCACGTTATTCTGCAGGGACGGGGCAACAACAAAGGGTCAAAAAGGGACAAGTGAGAGGGATCTGTCATATTGTTATTTCTGTGCTTCTCAAAGCGGTAACACAGCATCAGCTGAGTGGGTTATATTTATATAATCTATAAAAGGAATCTTTTAAACAAGGTTGCGACACACATTCTTATTCTCAGTGCAGTCAAGCGGGGGTCAGGTCAGGCGAGGAGTGTGTTGCACGAACATTGCTGGCAAAAGGGACTGTGCCCAAGAAGAGCCTGTGTTTGCAAACAGGCAGTGTTTAAGTGTGTGGGAAGTTTTATTTTAAGGCTCCAGTCTGGTCAATCTAAACAGACCGGACTTGAAAATTATAGATGGACAATTATAGAATTATGATATAATCACATAATCGCACGTTCCTAATTATAAAGATGCAGCTTTTTAAGACAAGTCATATGAGGCTGATTA